TCAAGAGAGTTTTACACAAAATAAATTCAAAAGTGCCTGGCAAAATAACAGTACACCAGGCACACAGGTTCTTTCCCTTCCTTTCTTGGGCTGCCTTCCCTGCAGGGAAGGCTTTTCTCTATAGAAAGACTTTTAAAAAGATGACTTAAAAATAGTTTAGCTTATCTCTTTCAGAAAAATAATGAGACTGCCTTAGATTTCATGGGTTAGTTCAAACCCTGAGGGAAGAAAATAGGGTCAGTTCCCAAGGAGAATGCAAAACATAACAAATGACCCATCTCTCAGAGGTGGAACTGAATTTGGAATGAAAGGGTTAAAGGAGCAAACAGAAATCCAAGCCTACACATCAGCCTGGCTAAAGCTCCTCTTCAGTTTTTAAACTATTTTGATTGAATGTTTCTGGGTTATCAAAATACCTCTAGACCTCCAGAGCTCCCATGGAGAAAATAACTTAATTTCAAATGTCATTAAAAAAAAAAAAAAAAAAAAAAAAAAAAAAAAAAAAGAGCAACATTAAAAATAGAAGTACACCAGCAGTTGCAACAACATTTTTAGGCAGACTTTATCCAGCAGCGAGGATGCAATGTAATTACAGGAAATGCAGTTCCCACTGTGATTTCTCTGCAGGTTCCTCTCTGACACAAACGTAGTGGCAGGCCAAATCATAAAATCTGAGCAGTATTACAGATTAGTGAAAGGCTGGCACATACTGGGTTGCATGGCAACGTTTTGGTAGCGGGGGGGCTACGGGAGTGGTTTCTGTGAGAAACTGCGAGAAGCTTCCCCAGTGTCTGACAGAGCCAATATCAGGTGGCTCCAAGATGGAACCACCCCTGGCCAAGGCCAAGATTATGGTAATGCCATAGGAAGAGAAGCTGAGTGGCCAGGATACAACCCAAAGGCTTAACTTTCTGCTACGGGAAAGAGATTTCTCTGTAAGACATTTCAGTGACTAGAGAGTGAAGAAGAAAGAATGGCTTGAACAGTTGGAAGAGGGAAAAAAAAAAAAAATCTAAGCACACAAGAGTTTAGTCCAGGTAGGAAAAAAACCCATTTTCCTCCCCTGGCCAAAATTAATGTGTGTGTCTGATGGATGCTGGGAGGCTCTGCTGATGGGCTTCAGCAAGGTTGGATATATGGATGTTTCAGTTCTACTGATCTCACCTTCCTCAGTCTGGATACCTGATTCCCTTGGTGTCAGACTGAATTAGTTTATTCTGATCACTTTGAATACCAACAGTTCTTAATGTGGACCAGAAATAATATCTGACATGCTGCCCTTCTGCTGGCTCTTGATGAGCAATTTGAGGTGTTAATAGCTTGGAGAGCATCTTCACTTGCAGCTCTGCCATGCACAATGACATGGTGCCTGCTGAGGGACCCAGAGAAAATACTGTCCTGCTTAATTAACATGCAGAGCAGAACAGGGAGCTGTCACAGCATCCTCAGCAGGAAAGAGGCAGCAACAGGACCGTGCCAAGCCCTTTGGAGCAGAGGCTGCTCTCATGCCAGATGCTTGGGACCCTCAGCTGCCTCCAAGTCCTCAGCCTCAGGTGACTCAGCATCAGGAGGAGCAAGTGCCTGCAGGCTCAGGTCCAGCAGAGCCAATTGAGGGGGAGATGGGGTGATTAAAAGCTGAACACTGATTCAGCATTCCCATTTCCAAAAGCCTAAATTGGTTCTAAAAAATAGGAATACAGAGAAACAGGCAAATGGCCAACAAGTGGACCCAGAGGAAATTAATTCCTTGCAGAGTTCACTGGAATGTGCTTATTTCTCTCTTATTGAAAAATATATGCATTGTTCTAGCATCAAAATTATATTTTTTCTTTAAGTTGTAATTAAACCCTAATCTAATTTGGCAGAAGATAACAGGACCTGCAAGCAGAGCGAACAGCCCTGCTCTTTCTTCTCCACCTCCCTCCACCTGCTTCTGGCAACTTTTCTCTGCATTCCAGGGTCTGGTCATGAAGGTGCTGTGCATCAAGAAGAGGCAGACAAAGAACCTGTTGGGATTTGATAAGACCCAGCTGGAAATGGGTCTGCAGGTGGGAGAGCAGGTCACTGTGCCTGAGCAATCCTGAATGCCCTCCCCACCCTTCCTGAGTCACTTTGTAAATAAGTGAGGGTGGTTTTAGACATGAGACTGTTTTTTAATCTGTAACCAAAATGTTAGAGTGCTTGGCATGAGATGGTCTGTGAGGCAGTAGTTGCTGTTAGACAGAGCAGAGCAAAAAAATGAGGATGATTTTTTAGCCTGTCTAAATCACTATAAAGACAGGGCAACATGAGGTAGCCAACTGGAAGTGTTTGAGATGTGCTACAGCTGAGCTGGGGCTTTCCAAGGACAGTGGCTTAGATGAAGCAGTTTCTGTGCCAGCACGTCAGCAGTCATGATTTCCTCCTTGTTTCTGTAAAAGGAGATGATTCTGGGTAATTCCCTGGGGTGTATGAAGCTATTTTATGCTAAGGGAGTGGTTGGAGCCCTCATCCAAGAGAAGCCCAGTTGCTCTGCCCTGGGACCTCTGTAGTGGAACTCTGAACTGGCCCCAACCTTTTAGTGGCTGAATTGGAACAAGGGAAGTCAGCTTTCTGCCCTAATAAGCAATTCCTTTTCAAATGTCCTTGGAAATAATCTTTACTGATGGTGGTGTTGACTTATTTTTGCCTTCTTGCTTTTGTATTGTTTTCATGCTGTGCTTCTGCTTGTTGCATATGTCTCCTATCACTGCAGCCAGGGGATTTGCCATGTCTCATCTGGTGCCTCATTATTTACCTGCTGTACTGCATGATTCAATTAAGTGAAATGATTTTAAAGTGTTATTCTGGAAGGCTCTGTCTCTTTGAAGCAGATTCCTCTTGTGAATGGCCCTAAGTCAACTGGGATGGAGAGGGGTGAGGGGGGGCTTTGTTGTGGGGTACAGGAGCACCTGCCAGGGAAAACACAGTGGGTGTTTTGCTGCATTGCTTGCCCGGTGGGAAGTGGGTTAGTGCCAGCTGAAATTATTTCTGTGCCTCTCCTGCAGCCGCACAGAACTAAAGCCAAAAGCCTGACCTTCACTACCAGTGGAGAGGAGCATCTGCGTTGGGTGAGGGTCCTGTGCCCAGGCACACTCTGCGCTGTGCTTCAAGGGGCACCTGCTGGGGGATTCAGAGAAACTCCCTCTGGTCCTTTGTAAGGATGGCATCGTACCTGTCCACGTGAGGACCTGCTCAGGGAACGGCCTGGTCTGGGAACCAGTGCTTGTCCCATAAAGGAAAGGTCCCCCAAAATATGGCAGACCTGGGAGCAGGTCTCAGTAATTCTTTTAAAGCAAATGACTGACTTCTGCTCTCCAGGAAGGGAGTTCTTCTTGGCAATGTGATTTTCTGACCAGTCTGTCCTCTTCAGCTAAGCACAACACAGGAAAGGTGGTGGGGGATTTTCTGCTGTGTCTCTCAACTCACATTTTGTTCTCATGGGCATGTGCCATGTCCCAGTTTCATTAGACTGTATTTGATCCCTGTTTACTACATTTTAATTAACTTGGTTGTGGTTTAATTACATTCTGCTCATTACTTTCAGTACCTTTTTTTTTTTTTTTCTGTCTGATTTTACTTGACCTTTGTGCTAAGTGTTGTGTTTGCAGCAGGGAGACGTGCTGGGTTCCCTGTGCTGGACCAGTGGCACTGTGGTGTCAATCCACGTGCCATCCTGTACTCACACCTGTGCTCTGTGTGTTCCCTTTTCTCACTTTATTTTTGAGCACTTTTGTGGAGAAAGTAAATTCATTAACCATAAAGTGTGATCATCCAGAGAGGGAAAACATGTGCCCTGCTCTCAACTTGGCCAAGCAGCAGCCAAATATTAGATGTGGTTTTCTTCCTTGGGCTTTCTGTCCCCCAAGCTTTTCTTATGGAATCTTTGCAGGGTTTCCTCGTAGCAAGTTGTAAGAAGCTTTTTTGTTCTTCTGGACGTGCTAGGTTTAGTTGTGGGGCATTATTACCACATCAGTGGACCCTGTGAGGTGTTTGCTGCATGTGGGAAGGTACCAGCCTGAACACAGGCAGCCCTTGAGCCCACAGCCTGCCAGCAGTAGCCGAAATCCCTCTTTGGCTCAGCTTTCCATATGGCAGGAGCTGGCTGGAAGCAGATAGAATGAGAACTGGGCATTGGCCCTGCAGAAAAAGCTCCATGGTATGCAAGTGTCAACTCCTGTTCCTACCTTTATCAAACCTCAGATAAATCCACAGTGAGGTGCAGATTCCTGGCACAGCTGCTCACCACAGCCATCCCTTTTGCTGTCAGTGCTGTCCTTGCCGGTAATTCCTGTTTAGTCTGGGCTCTGGTTCTCCCTTGGTACAATACCTCCATGCTGGATGTGCCAAGGACTCCGCAGCGAGCTTGAAATTAGATGTCCTGGTCACCTTCAGGAGGCACCCAGTGAAGTGTGAGGTGGCCAGCTGTCCTGGCACAAGAGGGGGAATCCTTTGGGCGGGAGATGTTTGGACAGGCACAAACAATCGGTGTGCACAAGCTGAAGTGCTGCAGCCTGCACCAATGCCCCACGCCTTGAGGCCCAACCCTCACCCGCTGAGGAACACCAGGGCATTCGATCCAAATATTTCACTGGCACTTGAGGGGAATTTTTAATAGGTGTAGCTGGGGACACTTACTAACATCTACCGGTGTGTCTGTGTGAATGCATGTGGGAGTTTAATTTAAAACACTTAACAGATAATTGAGTGGCTGTTACGGTTACAGCAAAGTCTGTCGAATCACTTTGTAAATGTCAAATTAATCCGTGATTAAGGGCTGCTAAATCCTTCTAGACATCAGCCTGTGGCCAGGACCGGACTGTGTCCCCTCGGGCTGACCGGGCGAAGGCGTCTCTCCCTAATGACGCTCCTGCTAATGAGCTGGGGATTAATGAGCCGGGGGTGCAGCGCGTCTCCGCGCCGCGCGGGGGCGCTGTGCGGCGGGGCGGGGTCACGTGTGCGCGCCGGCGGGGCGGGGTCACGTGGCCGCCGGTGGCGGCGGCGGGGCCATGAACGCGGAGCGGGACCTGTCGCCGCTGACGCCCGGCGTGGTGCGGGCGCTCACCGACAAACTCTACGAGAAGAGGAAGGTGGCGGCCCTGGAGATAGAGAAGTGAGCGGCGGGAGCCTGCGGGGAACCGGGAGGGCAGCGGGAATGAGGGCGGCGCCGGTGCGGGCGGCCCCGGTGCTGGGGTCAGGGAGCCCGGCCCGGTGCCCCGGGAAGGGCGGGGAGAGGTGTCGCGGTGCTGGGGCTCCCTGCGGCCCCGGGGTGGCGGGAGCCGGCCGGTGATGCTTGGGTGGGTCCAGCCGTACAGCGGGCGGCGGGAGGGAGCGGCCCGGTGGGAGCCGGGCACTGCGGGGATGGCGCTCGCCTCCGGGCTACCGGCGCTGCTGGCCTGGCACGCTGCGGGCCCGGCAGCCCCGGAAAGGGCTGAGGTGACGCGGTGACCCTGTCGGGGACAGCGCCGTGCGCGGTGCTCGGGCAGGAGGGATCTGTCCCAGAGCTGCTCCCTGTCTGCCAGCCCCGTCCCACCGGGCACCGAAGCTCATCCCCGAGTGTGCCAGCTCCTGGGTGCCGGGGAGCGCCCGCTGGCTCCGGGCGCGTCCCAGGAGCCCCTGACGGAAGGCTCGTTCTGCCGTGGGTGCCCGCTGCAGTTGCACAGCCCTGTGCGAGGTGAATACGTGAGTGGCATCCCTGTAGGAATTCCTTGGAAATGTACTGCTTACTCTGCTGCGACACGGCCGGAGTCCTGTGCCTCTCCCCCGAGGGCTCACCCAGACGTGTCCCGTGCTGGATCCTGCCTAGAGAGATGGGAAGGGTTGCTGTCGCCCCTGGCCATCGGGTGTTGCCCTTGGTTCTTCCTGCACAGCTGCTGTTCCAGCAGATCTGGGGCCTTCCTTTTGGAGCGTGCCAGGCAAAGGTCTGCAGGCACCTTCTGCTGTGGCGCTGCCCCTCTGGTGTTGCTTGTGTGTGTTCCCTGCCTGTCTTTCCACCCTCACTGTGCTGGTCTGGGTGCCGTGCTTGGCCACAGCTTTCCCTGGGAAGGACTGTGTCCTGCCTGGGCATTGCCTGAGAGCTCAGCTCCTGCAGGAGATCGGAAACCTCGCCTCAGGGTGCAGCCCAGCACAGGGCTGGGGGTGGTGGTCCAAACTGGTGGGTGAGTTTTGGGTGGGAGATGTGGCCATGGTGAGCCTGCAAGGGGAGCAGTCAGGCGCTCGGGGCAGTCGGTGAGGTGGGGATGGAGTTGCTGTGCTGAGAGTTCAGTGGGGGATGTGATGTGGGAACTGCCTGCCTCGAACGCGGAGGGTGCTGTGTGAGAGGTCAGCAGGGAAAAATGGCACCTGGGACAAGGGGAGTGTGTGCTCTGGTTCAAACCCAACCCAGCGAGCCCCTTCTGCTGTTGGTGTGTTTAGTTTTCTCTCATTTTCTCTCTTTGTTATAGGAATAATTTATTGTGGGTGGATTGCAGTGTTGCCAGGTGGGATTCTTGCAGTGTCCTCATAATTCCAGCCTCAGGAGCACTTGAGTAACTTTGCTGCATTGTGAAGGGTGATACTCTGTGCCTTATCCAAGCAGCTCTGCTCCAGCTTGCTGTGCCCCAGGATTAAGGGTTTATGCTGGCCTTACACCAACCAAAGTCTGCTTTGGGGTCAGGCAGTTCATCTGATCAAGCTGGACGTACAACTTGGGACAAGTGTGAGGAGGAAAAAGGCAAGGGCCAACCTTTTCTACGGGTTTAGTTCATCTAAAACCCATCACAGAATGGCCCCAGCAGCATCACTTCCATGTCCATGGCATCAAGCCAGGAGAGACTTGCTGCCTCTTTACCCAGGAACCACCTCCTGCTTCAGCTGATAATGCAGGAAGAGCTCCTGATGCTTGCAGGCTCTGATGCTGCACTTTTTGCCTCATTAATTAAATCTTGAGTCCTTTAAACTCATGAAAGAAGTCTGTAAACTTACTCTTGTTTAAACAAAGCTGCATCTGTAAAACGTAGGTAGTAAAATGATCACCCCAATGGTCTGTCTTCCTCAAGCTCAGTGTGTTTCTCTTCTTGGAGCGGGACTGGAAACGGAGCCATTATCCCTAAAGCAGTCTGTGAATGTGGATCAGGCTGTAACTGTTGGAGAACTTGGCTTTGGACTAAGGAGGAACTGCCTGGTATCCCCAGGGCAAAAGGGAGCAGCTGCTTTGCACAGAGTGAGATGAGAGCAGAGCTGGTGTTTGTAATTTTGGAGAGGAAAGTTCATCAACATCTTCTGTAATGGTTTTCCTGAATTATAAAGTGCAAGACTGGCCAGTGGACCTGTTTAGCAATGTGAGATTCATTTATTGCCAAAGAAACCCTCTGTGGAGTTAGCCAGTGAAAGCTTTTGCACCTTTTTTTGGCAGTTAAGGTAAAGATGATTATTTAGGCAGTTTTGAGGTGCCTGAGTCTGCATTATGGATAGAAATGCAAGGAAAAAGGAGGAAAAGAGCAAGATGATTATTTAGGCAGTTTTTGAGGTGCCTGAGTCTGCATTATGGATAGAAATGGAAGCAAAAAGGAGAAAAAGAGCGCTGCATTGGCCGGGAATCGAACCCGGGCCTCCCGCGTGGCAGGCGAGAATTTGAGGTGTGAACCACCAATGCTCCTGCTGCCTGCACAGCTGCCTGTGCAGCTGCCTGTGCCCCCCTGCCTGCACAGCTGCCTGCACATCTGCCTGTGCCTCCCTGCCTGGCGAAGAGCTCTGCCAACAGGAAACTGGGGCTGAAGGGCTGGGTGGGCAAGCTGGGACTTGGAAGCAGTTCTGTAGGCAGGAGCAGGGATACGAGTCTCTTCGTCCACAGCGGATGTGTTAATTATCTCTGGATAATGAGCTGCAAGTTCCTGGGGAGAAGCAGGTATTGTATATGGAAACTGTGTTGGCTTTTTGTTAAATATTGGGCTGTTTAGGAATATATTGAAATATACTGTTAGTGGTAAAGTTAAATATATGGGGTATTAACTGAAGCACTGTATGGGTGGCTGGAAGGGTTCAAAACCATGGCACTGTGTGTAGGCCTGGTGGGCACCAATTCCCTGCCAAGCCACCAGCTGGGTGCGTGCTGAGCCCCCATCCTGTGCCATGCTGGGGGGAAATTATCCTGATAACCTGCCATGTTGGAGAGGGTGTTTGAAACCTGGTAACTTCTCTGCAAGCACACAGCTGCACTGGGTTGGCCCTTGAGAGCACATAATGGGCTGAGAGTTTATGAACAGTGTCTGAGGCTGCAGGCTGGAGCAGCAGGAGGGCAGGGAGCTGCTGGTGGATGTGAGCAGAGAGGAGGGGAGAGCTCTGGTTTCACTTTTGGCTTCCTTAAGGATTCCCCATTTCAGTACTGCTTTCTCTGGTGCTTGTTGTGGCTGAAAGTCCCTGTTTCCATCACCAAGCCCCTCAATGTTTGTATCAGCCAGAACCTAAACCTCCCTGTGTGCCTCCCTGTCCTCTCCCCAGGCTGGTGCGAGAGTTTGTGGCTCAGAACAACACATCCCAGATCAAACACGTGATCCAGATCCTGTCACAGGAGTTTGCGCTCTCCCAGCACCCCCACAGCCGGAAAGGAGGGCTCATTGGCCTCGCTGCTTGCTCCATTGCCCTGGGCAAGGTAGGTATGGTGGGGTTTTTGCCTTGTGCAAGTTGTGGTGAGAGAACAGCAGCTCCTCTTGTGTGATAGGAAGAGTCAGGCTGGTGGCCCTGCAGCTCCCCAGCTCCCTCCCTGCATTGCAGCCTACAGCTGCCTTGTGTTGGAGTTTCCCCAGCACACCCAGGCACACACCCTCTGGGCCCAGGAGCACTTTCTGGCCTGGGTTACATCTTGGCAGCTGCCTAGGTGTGGTTAAAGGGCTTCTGTCCCTCTTCAGTTTCCAGCTGTGAGACTAGGCTCGGCAGGTTGGGTACTAGTTTGTGTTAAAAGAGCTGACCAGAGTTGCAGCTCTTCCCTCTCCTGCTGTGCACTGCTGACACTGGCCCACGCAGAAATCCATCTGCATAGGTGCACTAAAGCCATCACAGGCCTGAGTATTTGCAGTGTGTTCCAGGGCAGCACAGTCTCTTCCCACTCTCTGTGGCATGGTCCTTAGCTAACCAGACTCCTCGTGCCCCCAGGACTCTGGGCTGTACCTGAAGGAGCTGATTGAGCCAGTGCTGACGTGTTTCAATGATGCTGACAGTCGACTGCGGTACTATGCCTGTGAAGCTCTCTACAACATTGTCAAGGTGGCCAGGGGCTCTGTCCTCCCACACTTCAATGTGCTCTTTGATGGCCTCAGCAAGGTAAGAAGCTTCCTCTTAACCCCCGAGTGCTTTTTGAGGACTAGTCGTCATCATCTCCAAGTCAAACGAAGTTGTCCAAGGTTTTCTTTCCAAGCAAACTGGTTTACTTTGACCCAGACAGGTCTGAAGGACAGAATCACAGAATATTCTGAGTTGGAAGGGACCCACAAGGATCAGCAAAATGAGCAGTTTCTACACAGTAGCCACTAATACTGTGGGTATGAAGTTGATTGTAAGATACCTTGTTGTCTGTCCTCACCTCCAGGATGTATTCTCCTGCTCCTTGTTGAATTGTATTAGAAAATGAGCCTGAGAGGGCTGCTGCAGGTAAAGTGGCTCTGCAGCACTTTGGCTTTGTTTGGTCTGTAGTGTCAAAACTTTGTGTGTCTGCCTTTGCAGATTTTCGTGGTTACCTGCATTTCTCTGTTCTTTGAGAGTGTGACTGCTGGCCCATGAAAGCCTGCATAGCTTGGGGAGGTGATGTGTGCTTGATCTCCCTCTTAGGAAGTCTCTCAGGAGAATTTTTTGGAGCCTAATAAGAAGTTGGAAATAAAGGGACTTCTATATGTCTCTCCTTGTATTGTCAAAGGAGAGTAAGTCCTGTGAGCCTACTGGGAACAGTGCTGCAGAGCAGGGGGCAGGCCTAGGACCCACTGTTGCAATGTTTCTTTGTTTCTGTCTTTCACAGCTGGCTGCTGATCCTGACCCAAATGTCAAAAGTGGCTCCGAGCTCCTTGATCGCCTCCTCAAGGTATTTTTGCTCTCCAAGAGTCCTTGGTGCAAGCTAGGAACTTGTCCTGGCTGGGAACACATCAGTTCCCAAGGCTGCAGCTGCTAAAGCCATCCCACCTCAGTCCTGTGGCTGCTGTAAAAACATTTTATTCTCTCACTGACTGCAGCCTCTTCGATCAAGGCTCTGGTGGCCTTCTCAGGCAGCTGGGTGGAGGGTCTGATGGGTTAACGCAGTGCCATGTGTGCATTCAGCTCATGGGAGCAAGGTTTGAGTCTGAGGGTTGCAGTGCTGCGCCAGGCAGCAGGAGGGCTGTTCCTTTGCTTTCTCTCCTTTGCCTAAGGGAGTCATAATGTGAGTGGAGTTTCTGCTGCTACTTCAGGATGTGGGCTTGGTTCCCGTTCCTGTTCTAGGTGCTGATGGGCTTTTACTGCCACAGACCTCCCAGTTCCTTTTCTGCTGCTGTTCAGAGGTGAGCAGGTACCAGGTCCTGCCCTTGCTCCTTGTTATCACAGCAGTCTGCTGCTGCAAACTATCCTGTTGGGAGATCTGCTCCACTGCACCACAGCCAGGGACTCGGCCATGCGGCAAAATCTACCAAGCGTGTGGAAAGAGCTGTAAAGGGAAGTCAGGGGACTCTCCCACCCCAGTCCACGTGGCTGCATCAGAAGTGCTTCCTCATGTGTGCAGCACAGCACTGAGGCATGAATCAGAGAAGCTTCCCATCTTCCTGTTCAGCCGGGCTGGCACGCAGCAGGCAGGAGCATCCCTCTCTGGGTTGTGCTCAGCATTAGTCTCTGCCTGAGGGGGATTGCCAGCTCGTTGCTTGGATAAAACTGCATGATTCCTTCTCCCCAGGTCTCATGACCTGCAGACTCATGCTTATCATCTTTTTCCTGTCACATGGCTTAAAAAGACTGGGTTTGGGTTGCTGCATGCTGCGTGCTGGCAGTCGTTCTAACACCCTCTGCTTGGGCTCTGCAGGATATCGTGACAGAGAGCAACCAGTTTGACCTGGTAGGCTTCATCCCACTGCTGCGGGAGAGGATTTACTCCAACAACCAGTATGCCCGCCAGTTCATCATATCCTGGGTAGGTACACGGGTGCTCTGTGTGCCTGCCACTCTGAACTCCAGGGCATTGTGTCCCATCAGCTTCCCATGTCCAGGCAAACTGCAGATATCCACAGTGATGGGTGAGCTCAGCCACCTGGATTTATTTGGGCAGGTTTTTAAGGCAGCAGAGTTTTTTACCTCCTTCTTTAAAAGGCCTGCTCCTGTCACCTTGTTGTTGCTGGCAGGGACATGGCAGTGCACTTCTGTCAGCCTGTTCAGGACATGGCACATCAAGTTAGAAAGTACACTCAAAGTGTTGCTTGTCTAAATGGACATACTGTGCTCTAGAGGTTATGGTCTCCCAAGGGACAGTGCTAGGCTGCTTTCCATCATGCAGAGGTGATGGAGAGATGTTGCTCTCCAGGAGTCAAGGGATCTCCACTTGCTCTCTCCTTTCTGTACAAAGCAGGAGTTCTCGGTGCTTGGCTGAAGTCTGGGGAGATGTGTTCCCCTGTGCTCCCCCTCTCAGCCATGCTGTTGCCACCCAAGGTCTGCCTGGATGTGTCTTGGCAGTCATTCCTGATCCCTGCTTTGTTTAGCAGAGTTGTGATTGGAAATATAGCACTGCTGCAGGCTGATTGCTTGCTTGCTGTGCTAGTTCAGCTGCTTCCCAAGATGAGCAGCTCCACAGTGTCCTCTTTTCCTTCCCCCTACCCCACACAGCTCAGCTCTGAATTCCTCAGTATCCTGCCACATTTGGGCTGGTGATGTTAGTCGGCGTCTTGAAAACTCACCTCTTCTTTCATATTCTTCCCTGATCTAGATCCTGGTCTTAGAGTCCGTGCCTGATATCAACCTCTTGGATTACCTTCCAGAAATCCTAGATGGACTCTTCCAGATCCTGGGAGACAACAGCAAGGAGATACGGAAAATGTGAGTGTGGAGGCTGGCTGGTTGCAAGGACTGTGTCATGTTCGCTGTTCACCCATCACTTTTTCTCTTGATTTTCAACTCTTGTGTGTAAATGCAGTGAAGCTCCATGTGTGTGGTGGGGGACAAATTGGCTTGGGCAGTGGATCAAAGTGTCCTTGGCAAGGGTCTCCTGTGTCCCGTGGTCATGGAGGATGCCATTCTTTGAACTGGGGGACAAACTGTTTTGGCTTGGTTGAGTTGTTGCCTTCCCAGCACCTGACTTCAGAGCCACAGAGGCTCGTGTGTGGTTCTAGGATGGGCATGAGCTCTCTGAAGAAACTTGCAGCATGAGAAACTTTCTTGGCAAGGCAGAGCTCCAGCCTAGTGTCTCCTGGCTGGAGAAGAGAAGCAAGGATTGGGAGCTTGCTGCACAGATACACTGCTGGTCCCAAGACAGAGGCATTTTGAAGCGCATGAATGTCTACGTGTTCTCATGGAAGTCAAAGGATCTTGGCATTTTGTGGTGGGAGAGAGTGGCTGGACTGGTTTTGTAGGGCATAAGTGGTGAGACTGGCCTGGGTCTATCCTGATGCACAGCCTTTCTGGATCCTCCCTATCTCTTTTTTTTTCCCAGCATCCACATGTCAAGAAACAAGCACTGAAAGCTTTGGGTATCACCTGCCTCACTGCTCCTCATCCCAGGCACCTCCATATCCACAGAACTTGGGTGGCTGTGGGGGAGCTGTGGAAGCTGTGGGGGGCTCTTTGCTGCCATCACCTCTTGTCCTTGCACCTGTGTGCAGTCTCTGCTGTGGGGCAGGGTGAGCTTGTCAGCCTCATCTTTCGTGCCCCTGCCTCTGTGCAAAAACACTTCTGCCGTGCCCCCAGCATCCCTCCACATGCATCTGGAGAACACAGTCTCTATAAGTTCTCCCTAATTGCTCTGTCTAAGGTGATCGAGCACTGACCAGCTGCTCTGCCTCCCCACAGGTGTGAGGTGGCTCTTGGAGAATTCCTCAAGGAGATCAAGAAGAATCCCTCCAGTGTGAAGTTTGCAGAAATGGCCAATATCCTGGTGATCCACTGCCAGGCAGCAGGTGAGTGCACAGGACCAGGCAGTAGCACCAGCCTCCTGGTTTGTGGTGCCGACTGTAGATTCAGGCCAGGAGTTTTCCAGCAGGCTGTTCACCAGCTCAGCTGCTCACCTTTTTTTTTTGTCACTGTTTATGGAAATCCCACTGAAAGGAGGGAACAGACAGCTCTCCTACAGTTGCCACAACTGCTTTTGTACTGCAGATCCCCCAACCACGACACAGGTCTGGCATCCTCCAAGAGGGAGGGGCCTAAAAAGTATTTGACACCTGTGGATATCCAGCACTTCTGGGAGGATCTCTTTAAGGTCTTGCTGTAACCTCTGGTTGCACTTGGTGCATAGGTCAGAGTGTCAAGGATGTGTGTGGGCTCTGTGCCAGTGCTGCAGTATGGCTCCCATGGGTCTGCTGTGTAGGCAGAGGGTTACAGCTGCAGCTGGATGTGTTTCCTGAGGAGGATCTTGTTCCCAAGTTTTGCTCATTGTATTCTGTAAATGCTGTTGAATGGGTGTGGGTTTCCTGGGAGATAGAAAAGTATAGATAGACGTAGATTGGTTGCTCTTGATTAAACAAACTTCAATTAATTTACACTGTTTAAGCTTAAAATCTGGCCTTGCATCAACAGAGTGCCATGGCAATGGTGCCTTTTCCAGAATTTAGGGAGGTTGTTAAAACCCCACCTCTAGGAATGATGGTAGACCCGGACACACAGGTGCAGGGGGTGTGACTGAAGAAATGTCATTATGCATTGGGAAGCTTGACAGAATACTTGTAAATGAGGAAACCTGCATTATGGGTTGAACTGGGTTAAGTGAAACCTAATTATTGTGTTTCATCTCAAGCTCACTGGAAATTCTGGTCTCACTGATCTCCTCTGGGACTAAATTGTCTCAGATGAGCTTCTCCCGGGATGGAGCAGAGGCAGCTCCTTGCTTGCAGGTGGTCCTTGGCCTGTGGAGCCTGTGATGCCCTTTCCCTCACCTTTGTCTCGTGTCTTCCAGATGACCTGATCCAGCTGACAGCCATGTGCTGGATGCGGGAGTTCATCCAGCTGGCTGGCCGGGTGATGCTGCCCTACTCCTCAGGGATCCTGACCGCCGTCCTGCCGTGTCTCTCCTACGATGACCGCAAGAAGAGTATCCTTGTAGCTCAGAGCTGCTCCCATTCCATTCCTGCTACAGCATCCCGCAGGGAAGCGCCCATTCCAGTGCCTGTGTCCTGCCCTTGTGGTGCAGGAAAAGTTCTCGTGCCAAGTGCTGACACCCACACTGGCCCTTTGGATGTGAGGGGGCTTGCAGTAGCTGGGCTGGGGCAGCTCTGGTGGGGCTGCAGTGGCTTCTCCATGGCCGGCACCTGCCCATGTGTGGGACTGCGTGTTCCTTACACTGCCTTCACTCAGACATCAAGGAGGTGGCAAACGTGTGCAACCAGAGCCTAATGAAGCTGGTCATCCCAGAGGATGATGAAATGGATGAGGCCAAGCCATCAATGACCATACCAGCAGAGCCCACCTCGGAGGAGTCCGACTCCAGGCCAGAGGCAGTGACCACCGGTGAGTCCCAGTTGGTCTGGACCAGTAGAGGTGTCAGGAACGTTAAGGGAATGTTCTCAAGGGAAGTTCTTGAGTTGGTTTGGTGTCCTGGAGCAGCTAAGAGTACATGGGACCTCTGTGCTTTATTAGGAAACATGTTGCACAGATGATCCTCTGGTGAGACAGACACGCTTGTTGCAAGCTGCATGAGAGGGTCATTGGTCTGACCTGGAGCCCAAGTGGTGCTGCATTGCTGTGTGCCTTGGTGAGCATCCCCATCCTTTCACCATGCTCCCCTTCAACATAGTTACCAAGTTGACCTGAAAAGATCATTTCTAGTTTGGGAGCAGGCATCATCACCCAAAGAAGAACTCAGAGAGCTGTATTAGTCCTGGGAGAGCATCAAGACATTCATGGAGGATATGTGTGGTGGGGAAGGGTAGAGAACAGAAAGGAGAAGAATTTTGGATCCTTTCCAGATTCATGGTGCCCTCCAGACCATCTTGCAGGTATTGTCCCAGTCCTAAAATTTCGAGAACATAAAAGGCGAAAGTTTGCAAATGGGATGGGAGACCTGAAGGAGAGTTCAAGTGAAAAGAAACTAAGTGGTCCCCATGAATCAGTGCTTAGGAACAGCAGTGGTGTTAGCCCCCATCCAGCATCCCTTGGATGCTGTTGTCCTGGCATGACTGAACATTTCTTCTGGTACAACACATCTTTGTTGTCCAGGTGTGTGAAATACGTGTTAATGTTTAAATCACAAAGGCTCATCTGAGTCCTTCTAAAGCTGCACCTTCAGCCCAGTGCTCTCCTGTAACACGCTCACCAGTGGCTTTTGGAAAATCCTGCCATGAGAGGGAGCAGGAGGATGGGATGAAGACTGAAGGATTTCCTTGTCCGACAGCAGCAGTGGGAGGCGGGGGAGCTGCTGGGGAGCTGCGGGGTAGGGGCGGTGGCAGTGGGGTGTGGGCAGCAGTTGGGGTGGCAGGAGCACGCCGCAGGCGCGTGGGGCAGCGCACAGCGCAGCATTGGTGGTTCAGTGGTAGAATTCTCGCCTGCCACGCGGGAGGCCCGGGTTCGATTCCCGGCCAATGCAACATGCTTTTTCCTCCTTTTTTTTGTTTTTAATCCGTAATGTGGACCCAGGCACCTCAAAATATCAGTCTAAATAAGCATCTTAGTCTTCAGTAAAGGTTCAAAAGCTTTCATTACCTAACTCTGTACAGTTTTTTTTACTAGATGAGATAAAGCAGAAGAATTTACTGCCGTAGCACAGCAGTATTGTATATCTTGTATTAAAATCTATCACAGAAGAGCTTTAAAATATCAACAGAAAGCTTAATTGCTTTATTCTCAGCCCCTGTGGTGTCAAATTGCACATTGAAGCAGTCAGGATCAGATAAAATTATGATGTCTTTCTATGAGAAACTCAGCTCTGTTCCTTGGGTGTGCTGATGTGGTGATGTTGCTTGTGTGAGTAGAGGCTTTTGGCACAAGGGGGCACAAAGAGTCAAGTTCATCTTGTAATGCTTTGTCACCGTGCTTGTGAGACCCAGTTTTAGCATGGAGCAGAGGTTGGAAAGCTGTTTGAGTCACTTGGCTGTGACCTGGAGTCAGGCTATGGCCAAGTGGAGATGTCCTGATTTGGAGTCTACTTTCACTGTGCATGTGGTATATCTAGGATTTGAAATCAAGAGGGTCAAAGGCAACCCTGCAGTTCTGAGCTGCTTCTCTGAGAATGGTTGAAACCATCAGCAGGATGTGTCTGGGTCTCTCTTACAGAGGAGAGGACCCAGGGGCAGTGGTCTGAAGCTGTGCCTATCTGCATTTTGCTGGGTAAGTGCAGTTCTGTACCAGCTTGTCTAGCAGCAGAGAAGGGCTTGAAAAGGAGAGTAAAATGCTCACTGCAGGCAGAAGGGATCCCTTGGGTCCCTGGACCCTCAGACAATGACTGGTGGTGTCTTTGCAGAAGGTCATGCAGCTCTCCAGCCTCCCAGTCTTGCTGTCTGCCTTCCCCATCAACACATTAGCTGTGTCTCCTGTTTTTCTGCCCCCAGGTTCTCTGGATGCCTCTGGTGACTCCAGCAACAGTGGTGTCTTCACAGTAACCAGGTAGGGGCTGTTTGTTGCTTCAGAGGGGCTTGAGAAGAAGAGAAAGGTTCTTGGGGTACAGATAATGACTGACAGGGGCTGGCTGGGAGGCAGCTGGGGTCTCTTGGGTCCCAGTAGGGTGGATGACTGGGGATGCTCTAGGAGCTGACTGCTTCTCTCTGATGTATTTGCACCAAAATGTCTTGACTGTATGATGAACTGAGGTGTTTCTTCCCTGAAGAGACTGACCATGTTCCATGCTGCTGTCTTGGCAGCCTACCAGAGCCCAGGCCCATGGGGCTGGACCTGGGGCTGCACAGCTCTTGGCCACCTGCCAGCCTTTTGTGGCATTTGTCAGCCCTGTACCAGTTCTGTGCCCAGCACGATCTCTCCTGCAAATACCTTTCTTCCCATCCAGCTATGTGAACTGGGGGACAGCTCCATCTGCTCTAATAGCTTTCCTTTCCTCCTGCTGCCTGCAGTTTCTTTACTCAGAGGTAGTGATTTCCAACACTTTAATTGTGCTGATGCTTATTTTTATTTGTTGTGATCCCTAAAATAGGATTGCCTTGCTTTAGCTGCATCCTACCGGCGTGATGCCCATCACAATACATCCCAGAGCAGTGCAAGCATCAGCTTTTCAAGTTGATGGTCTGTACTCTCTGTTCCGTTTTTGCATTTCTGCACAGCCCAGCTACTCCTTGGTCTTAATGATGCCCTTAATTTTTTTTCTCTCTTGGAAGTACAGGTAATTTCATTGGCACCTGAATGTTGGTTTATGGTGGTTAAACGATTTTCCCTGGCTTTTTTGTGGTTGGTGTGTCCTGACCCTGCTCAGCCCTTGAAGTTTAACAAGTGCAGAAGTGGATGTGCATAGGGCTGAAATGGAGAGCTGGGTGGGGAAAGAAAAAGAAGAGGCATTGGGTCAAGAGGACAAGTGATAGCCATGGCTCTGTCCTGAAGATCTTGTACATGAGGGAGAGGGGGAATGAAAATTGAAGAGGGTCAGAAGCAGGGAGAGCTGGGATGACTTGTCCTAGTGTCAGTGAGAGCTGGAAGGAGAACAGCTGCTTGAGCTGAAATTTTCTGTCAACAGCTCAACCACCAGGGAAAACCATCTAGGACAGAAGGCAAGACCCTCCATATCTTTGAGACCTGATTGTGCAGAGGGACTTTTTGGTGAGCCCTCCTTTGCCCTTTTCAACAGGAGACTCCAGAGGTTTACCTGCCCTTGTGACCTCTCTGCTGGTCCAGTGTTGGGACCTCAAACATTTTCACCACTGCATCTGTTTTGGGGACTGACACAGGACTGGGGGAGGGCTGTACATGGCTGACAGGAGCCCTGGACATGTGCCTGGTGCTCCATGCATTGCTCAGGCTGTCTGGCTTGGCGCTGGAGCCGGAGGAAGGCGGGAGCTGGCACCCGTGGCCATTAGCAGCCATAATTCACACCGGAGAGCGGCAGCTGCCGGCACGCTGAATGCCCACTGGGTGTCAAGGCAGGACCGCAGGAAGCCTGTTGTGTTGCTGGGAAAAGCTGGAAAGCCTGCAAACAGAGGAAGTTGCAGCTGCCTTTTAAGATGAAGTCACTCTGCTTCTGTTTTTGTTCATCCCCCGTTCCCCCCCGCCCCTCAGTTTCCCCCAGCGATCAAGTGAGGGAGCATGGCCGAGCGCCAAGCATGCAGCTCTCACGCCCCCTTCCCCTGCCCTCCCCGGCTGGCTGCAGAGGGACAGTGCTGCTGCAGCAGGGAAGGGAGGACCTTGGTCAGCTGGGGCAGAGGAGATCGTGGCCTGATGTCTGCAGAGGGCCGTGTTCTGAGAGGATGCCATCCAAGAAGATGAACTGCTCAATACATGGATGCTGGGCACATTCCTGTGGCCACAGACTGACACATGCAACCACCCCTTGCTCCTAAAACGTGCTCCAAAATGCTTCCCAAATATTTGCCAGCTTTACTTGGAGGGAGTTTCCTGGTGGCATCCACTAGGAGATGGAGACTGTGTCTGTGCCAAGACAGAATCTGGCTGCTGGGAGAGCCTGTCTATGCAGGGCTGGAGGGGTTTTGGGGTTCCCCATCCAGATGGGGGTCCCACTTCTAGCTTCTGCAAAAAGTGTCACTGGAATTGGACCAGAACCACGTTTCAAAGGCACTAGATCCTTCTCATGGCCTGGCTGAGCATGCTGCTGCTGTGTTAGCTGGTGTGAGCCTGGATCAGGAAGGGGAGGTGGAAGCATGGCTGCTGGAGCAGAGCCCGGGCTTCCTTCCGTTGGTCTGAGCTGCCACAGGAGAAGATCCAGATGTCTGTCCTGCATCAGTGGACCAAAACAGCTGGAAAGTGCCTTTTAGGCTCTTGTAACTGCATTGGTGTTTCAAAACTAAACCTGAACAGTTTGAGACAACTTCCTGATGGTGCTACTGGGCAGAGGGTCGGGCACAGCTGGAAGCTGTCAGTGTTAGGCTGTCTGCATGATGGGACAAGGTCCCTCGGATCACAGTCCCTCACCAAACTAGATAAGGGACATGAAATCTCCAAGAAGAACCTTTGTGATACTTCCTAAGGCAAGGAAGCCTTCTTGCTTTAGGTGGTGGTCAGAAACACATGGACATGTAAAGCTGTGTGTTGCTCTGCAGAAAGGGCAAGTGGCTGCCACGTGGCTGAACTGCCCGAGCCTGCAATTAAACCAGGCTTTTAAATGTGGTAGTTAGTGCTTCTTACAAAACTAAAATAGCTGCTGCTTGTCTCATGCTGGAAGTTGCTGTATCCCCATGCCCAGAGCCTTGGTTGAGGATAGAAATGGTGTTGAGTGCTCTGCAGCACCCAGAGATTGGTTGGCTGAAGGCAGCATGATGGCTTGCTTTGAGCTAAGGCACCAAGTCTGCCTTGGAATCCCATTCTCCAGCAGATTGTTTTGCACAGCCTTTAGGTCCAGGGTGGCTCATCCTGGCCCTTCTCTCCAGCCTGGAGTGAGGAGATGGCTTCCCTTTGCTGCTCTCACTTCATGCTTGGGTGGGTGAGCTGGAGGGGAACCCCAGGCACACTGCCCCAGCCCTTGTCACAGTGATCTCCAGCTTGTTGGACTGGATGCCTCTGCCTAGACCTTGGCCTCATCGCTTCCCTGGGAGATCCTGGAAACTGCAGTAAGCAGAAGGAAGCCAAGAGCACTGAAATGAGAGCGATGAAGGACAAGAAAGTGGCAGCTTGTGGGGCCAATAGCAGAGAGGAGCTATTTACCTCCTGGCCGCTGGCTCGAGCCGGTTGAGCAGCACAGCTGCCAGCCTGTATGGGAGCTGCCCTTGTGACTTGGACCACAATGAAAGAACCTGGGTATTTCCACCCTTGGCAAGGCCATTTTGCTGGGCTTGCCTAAAGGCTAGAGCCCGGCCTGGACCTTGTCTGAAAATGGGGTCAGGAAAGCAGCTGGGCCAGGCAGGAGGCCAGGAGAAAGATGACAGCTCAGGCATTGGCAGAGAAAAGGTGACTGCTGAGGAGAGAGAAGGCAGAAGCCCTTGGAGAAGTGAGAAAATGGGTTGATAAAGGACATGGAGTGAAAAACATTGCTGTGGGTTGAATGTAGTGGGAAAGTAAACTCAGTTCCCATGCTGAAGGGTGCTTTCTGAAATGGGGGGATGTGCTGTGGGATGGGTCCTCTGCCCCACCACTGAGCTTGAGCAAAGACTCCCAGTATTCAGAGGTGAGAGGCTGGCACAACCCCATCATTGCTCAATTTGCCCTAAAAGCATGTTCTCGCTGTCACAGGCGAACAGCGGGGGCGGTGCCAGGGCCACGCTCATCCTCAGGAGGAGAATCTGGGGTAGTGGGTTAGATGGAAGTGATTGCATCTGACATCTGCCCTGCCGCAGATGCCGGCGCTGGGAGGCGGCGTGGCCAGCCCAGAGGATCACGTTAACGCAATGCCATTACTGCTGCTCCCGCTCCCTCCTGCCTGGGGATTAGGGAGAGTCAGGCTGAGCTGTGAGCCTGGCTCTGGAGCTGCAGCAGCGCTCAGCTGCTGCCATAACCCCTGGAAAGGGGGGTAGCCCAGGACAGTCTGGTGGCACTCTATCCCAGAGGATTGGTGAGAGGTTTTTAGCCCAATTTCCCATGTTCATCAGACCGCTCTCCTTTCATGGTGGTGCATGGGTTTTGTGCTGAGTAAAGGAGCTGCTTCTCCACCAGCAACCCCCCTAAAAGGTTTATCTCAACAGCTGTGGACAGAGGGTAGCCAGTGAGGAGCTTTTCCCAGCTGCAATCCCTCCTAGTGGGAGCTGAGCCCAGCAGAGCCACAGGGCAGTGGTACACAGTGTGGCTGGGGGCTGCCTGGCTGCAGGTCAGCCTGGTGCTCCCAGCCACTTCCTGGGGTCCTCTCACGTGGGTTTTGGCTGAGCCACCCAGGCTCCACCCAGATACTGCATCAAGAGCAGTGATGGAAAACTGGTTTTCACAAGTGATTTTGGCACAAACCAGATTGGAAATTGCTCGTAGAAGCAAGTTTCTGCTGTGCTGTTAGAAGTCCAGCATCAGCAGACAGCAGTGCTGTGGCAACCCATGGCACCCTGCATCCTGCCCGCTTATCTCACAGCAGCATGGAGCTGGTGGGATGTGACAGCATCAAAGCCATCTCCAAACTGCCCAGCTTCAGGCACCAATTCTCTGTGCTGTCCTTTTGGCCTCTTGCTTCTGAAAACGTGCATTACCCTGAAGTTTCTTTTCCCCCATCCTCTGAAGGCGATGCATATATTTGGTGTGGAGGTGTTACCAGGTCATGGTTTCATTCTCTTCCATCTGAAGGCCTATACTGGGAGCACGGCAGGCTATGCAGCTGCCATGGGAAATGGTTTTGTAGGAAAACCAAATGCAGGCTGGCTTAAATGAACTGGGAAGCTGCTCCCTTGGACATCTCTCCCAAACTCCTCATGCTCTGGGTCCCTCCTTCCCCTCAGTTCTGTGTGTCTGAGCATTTCACCCTTGGCTGTTGTTTTCAACATCAAAGTGAAATGCAATTTGCAGCCCCCAGCATCTGTTACGTGAGGAAGATCAAGCAGTCAGATCCCCGCAGGGCTCTGAGGGGCTGCAGCCTCCTCGTCTCGCCCGTACAACGTGTGGCCTGGCAAAGATCAAATCCTATTAAGCCACAGCTCTACTTGCAAATTATACCGTGAGAAATCTGCCCCTTAGGATTTCTTATCAAACAAGATGCACGGCAGCTCTGTGCACACTGGAAGAATCGGCAAGAGCCTGCTCCAGCCTTGAATAATTCAATAGCTTGGGTGTGAGAGGCGTGACATGGCTCTTGAGTGCAGCTTCCCCTTGGTGGTCTTCTCCAACCATCTTGGTTCTAACCATTATCTCTCCTTAAATGAGTTTCCTGTGACAGATACTTCCCATATTCATGCTGTCAAGGAGGTGGGAAACCATCAGGTAGATTTCAGGATCACAATCAGGACATAAAAAATGCTGTATCATGGCAACTTCTGCGTTGGGGTCACCTGTCCCAATGCAGGTCCCAGCTATTAGGGAGAAAAACTGGGAGACCAAGAGCTAAGAGTCTGCAGCAGCTGTCCATTTCTAACAGAGACAATGTCCGGGCAAACTAAGCTAATTACTTCTTCTCATCTCTTGTTTATGATGAAGGATTATCCTGATCTTTTGGGATGGCTTTTGGGAGCAAGATGGAGGTCTCAAGGCAGGATTGTAGCAGAGAGCTGCATCCCAAACTCACTGCCAGTCAGGGCACCTTCTGCAATTCTCAGCACAAATACACTGGGATCAGCAGAACTTGGATGCCTTCATCAGATTGGAGTTTGAGTACACATAGGTTAATGTTCTCTGAAGCTGTTTGAGCTGGTCAACCTTGAGGTGGATTCTGAGTGTGTTTCATGGATCTCTAATCTTTGAACCCCAAATCTGGCAACTGCACTATGGACCAGTTTCTCACACAGCCATGCTAATGTTTTCATTTAGAGTGGTGCCTTCCCATGTGTAGGTACCAGCTGCTTTGGGAAAAGTGGTAACACTCAAAGCACCAAAGATTTCTGTTGCTTCCAAAACATTATAAGAAAGGACAGTGACTATTTACATAGGTAGATAGGACAAGGGGGAACAGTTTTGAGCTAGGAAAGATTTAGGTTAGATGTTAGGAAGAAACTCTTTACTCACAGGATGGTGATGCACTGGCATAGTTTTCACAGAGAAGTTGTGGATGGCCCATTTCTGGAAATGTTCAAGGCCTGTCTCGACTTGGCAGCCTGATCTAGTGAGTTGCATCTGGTGAGGGTTTGAGCTGAGGTGTTTGATGCAGCCTCTGGAGTGTTGTAGACTTCCCCACCGTGGGAGGAATGAGTTGGATATTACAGTGAACCAGCTTTTCTTTCCATGCAGCTGTGAGAGAATACAGGTGACCCTGAACCTGGATGGAATAGTTCAGGTGCTGGACTACCACCTTAGTGATACATCCATTGGGATGATGACCAGAATTGCAGTCCTGAAATGGCTCTACCACTTGTACATCAAGACTCCTCGTAAGGTAAGTTGGGGACTCAGTGTTCAGCTGAGCTTGTCAGCTCCCAGCCTGTTCCATTGCCTTGATAGCAGTGCAGATTGTAATTGTCTTGGTAGTTTGGCAAATGTGTGTCCACCTGCCTTTTCTGAGAAGGCTTTGGCTGCCAGATACCCCATAGCTTGAGGAAGAAGAGCTCTCCAGCTCAGATGGGAACTGCTGGTGAAGCTCTTGGCAGCCACCCTCAGGGCAAGTGTCCTGTGGATGACCAGGCCTGTAGGACTGATGATACCCATCCTTCTGCTTCCAGATGTTCCGACACACCGACAGCCTCTTCCCCATCTTGCTGCGGACCCTCTCAGATGAGTCGGATGAGGTAGGTGCTGCAAAAATCCTGGAAACTTATTGTCTCCACATCTAGGTGGGCTTTGGGTTTTTTGGTGGGATTGAGATATTTTGTGAGGCTTGGCCAGTGTTGGCACTGAGGGGTTTTATTCATTTGGCCAAACCAAAGAAGACCCAGTGCAGAGCCTGCAGGTACTTGCCCAGGTGAAAACCCTGCTGTCTTGGGGGTTCTCTGATGTAGAAACACTGTTCTCCATCTCTGAGAGTTGATCCTTCAAAGCCAGCTCCCAAGAATCCTTTTTGCCTACAGATGGGGCATCACCCATGGGACTGGGTAGCAGCCTTGTTGAGTGGGAATTCAGGTGCTTTACAACAACCTGTGTAAAGATGCAAGGGGGATTGTGTCCAAGCTGGCACTCCCAAATCTATATTCATGAGGCGTTTAGCAGCACCCACTGCTTGGACAGCAGCAGCAGCATTGCCTGGCAGGGCTGCACTAGATGCCCAGTGGCATCAGGTTGGCTGGGAACCACTCAGCTTGGAAGTGACCAAAGGTAATTAGACAGCAAACTGAGCCAGCTTGCTCTGCTGTTGAGTTCCTCATCTCTCACCTCCCAAGGTGCTGCACCATTTTCCTCTTTCCTTGTCTTGCTTCTTCACCCTTCTTCTCTGGTTCCAGTCATCTCAATTTTGGTGGTGTTGTTGTCTTATCCCCCTCTAAGTTGTTCCCTGGAGCATTTTAGCACTTGGGTTGGAGGCCAGCAGCATGGCCCACAGCTGGCCCAGGCACTGGTAGAGCCTCCGCCATCAGCTGGATCCTCTTGCCCAGAACTACAAATGATCCTGGCTGGTTTCTCATCCCAGACCTTCCTCATGGAATAAAAATCACATGCTATGCTGTGCCTTACATGCTCAAAGCATCAAACCCCAATCCTGCAATAAATCCCATGTGTGAGGGGTCGTTAAGAGAGGAGGGAAGGGAATGAGCAAGCAAGGGAATGACTTGCAAAGGCAAGCAACTGCCTGGCCATTTTCCATCCCCTGCTGCTTACAATGCAGACCTTTCCAAAAGAGTCCCCGAGCACACATCTGCCTTTGCAACGCTCTAGAAAGCCTGCATCTTGCAGATAGTCTCTCCAGCTTGGCAGGAGATCTCAGTGAGTCATGTTGCAATTACACTGCTTATTAATATTTGAAAAAAACAGTGAAGAAAGGACCCTGGTGGTGCATTTCCTCCATGTGACATAACTGGGAATGGCTCAAAAGTAATTTTAAGCTGATTTATTTAATCCTGGCTTCTATTTATTTAAATGTTTGGAGGTGGCTGCTTCTTTTTTTTTTTTTTTTTTTTTTTTTTTTTTTGGTAAGGAAATCCATAGATGAGTCAATCCATTAAACACCACCACTCAGCTGGCTGTCAACCAGATTTGCTGCTTTCTGCAGAGGAAATAGAAATTACTGAAATAGTAGAGACGTTTTGAGCTGGACATTTTTGGGAGTGATGAGGACACTCTGAACTAACTAACCTGCTGTGTCAGTGCCTGTTAGGAAAGGGGATGTGGGGTGCTTGCTTAGCCAGTGCAGTATTTGTGTGTAAAGTCATATTGTCCCACATCACCTGCAGGCTGTGACCCTGCTGTCTGCCAGAAGCTCCTGGATAACAGCCTGGGGATCACCTGGTCAGCATGGGGGCCTATGTGAGCTAAACATCAGCTCTGATGAGGAAGCATCTCCCTCCTCCTTCTAGATGGGGCTTTGCATGTTGTGTGGTGTAGCACGAGGTGTACACGTATCTTCGGAGGGTATTTGTGCTTTGTCCTGTGATGCTGCCCTCCCCAAGGGAGCCTGCTTGGCAGCAGTGTCAGTATCATCTTTATTCCCAGCAAGGTTGAACATCCTTCTGTAGTGCCTAGAGTTCCTCTGACCCCTGTACACAGTTTGGAGGCTACCTGTCATTCTGCTGATGTGCCCTGGAGCAGTTCTTTGTCACCAGCTCATCACCAAAGGACAATCTGGCTTTGGAGGGTCAGTGCTAGTCTGTGCATCAGACTGAAAGACTGTGCTCAGGCACCTTATTTTTAAGGTCTTGTCTTGCTGAGCTGCTCTCAGTCTCTCTCTGCACTTGCCATAAATAATCAAGCTCAAAGCAAAGGAAGACTCACGCTGGATGGAGCCAGATCCATGCCCCTTAAGTTCTCACCCTTGTTTTTGTCATTCAAGTAGCACAGGGTGTTGCACCACCTCCACTGTGCTGAACAGGGGCCAGTATCTCATGATGCATCTGCAGTGTCCTGAGTCATCTCTGCCATCTCTCCTATTCCCCTTCCTACCCAATTCTCCTGTGCCAGTAAAGAAATGGTCAAGAGACGTAGTTAAGATTCACAAAGGCAGCACAGAGAAGTTGGAGCAAAGCTGAAGCAGGCAGTTCCCTTTGATATGTAGACAAGTCAGGATCCAGGATTCCTGGCTGTCAGATGCTGTGCTGCTGCACTGCGTCACCTCATGCTGCTTCCTGTGCTTTCCTGACAGGGAGATGTTCTGTCCTGCGTTTGAGACCTGCTTTTGAAGGCAATCTATAAAAGCCCTGCTTAAAATTTGATGTGCTTGAAAACTTCCTTACAAGACGTAACCAGATCCTGCTGGGAGTGGATTTTTCTGTACTGTCTGCTTGGTTCGTCTGTAAGAGCCTTGCTGCCCTGGTTGAAAAGCTGATGGTAGGGAAGATGAAAAGTTAGGAAATGCTGTTTGGGAGCAGTGAGTGGGACCTTTCCACCTGCAGGCTAAAGGCACCACTGCTGATAGGCACTGCTGAAAAGAAGACGTGTTCTTCAGATTACCTCCTTCTGCAAGTTCATGGTGCAAAGACAGCTTTGGATGTAGCTTCTCAGTTCTCTGGATTCTGAATGGATCCAGGCACTGAGCTGAAGTGAACACAACAGGAGCTGAGGCATCTCTGAGAAAACTGTGAAGCAGTGACGCTACTCAGTTTCTTTCTTTGCTTTGTTTTCCTTTTTCCGGTTCCAAAATGGAGTGGTTTCTTTATGGCTGAACATGTTCCTGTTTGCTTATCTGCTCCCCTCAGTCTTGTTGGGGGTTGAAAGTTGTGCTGGGACTTTTGTCTGAGTCATGCAGGAATGACGCATGAGGTGGAGCTGGTGTCTGACGTGAAGCAGGATAGACTCTGGCTTCCTCAACTCTGCTAACATGAAAACCTGCGCAGTGGCTGGGCAAGGCTTTGAGTACAGAAGCACTTCCTTCAGAAGTAGCCTCAAGAGTTGGTGACCTTCTCTAGAGAGAGTGAACTAAGCCTTGGCTACTGCTGACTTTGGAGGGCAGGTTTAGATGAGTTACTAAGAAGAAATTCTTCCATGTGAGGATGGTGAGACACGGGTTGCTGAGAGAATATGTGTCTGCTCCATCCATTAAAGTGTTCAGGTTGGATGGGGCTCTGAGCAACCTTATCTAGCAGAAATTGTCCTTGCCCATGGCAGGGGAGTTGGAACTAGATGGTCTTTAAAGGTTCCTTCCAACCCAAACCATTATGTGACTCTGTGATGTACTTGAACCTCTACATGGCCCTCCAGTCAACTTCCCACAAGAAGCTGAAACATTCTGCCCCATTTTGGGCTTCCAGTATTAAGGTAGAAGAGAAGAAAACCCTGGGATAGTAGTATACTGATAGTCATTTCTTTCCTTTGCATGTCCTGCTGCAGCACTGCAGGGTTTCAAAGCCAGGTCTCTGTCCTGCTCTGAGCTCTGCTGTCACACTGAATCCTGGCGAACGTGTCCTGTCGCACCCGATCCCAGTACAATGGCGCTGAACAAAGGCTTGTGCCAAAGCAAATAGCTGTCTTAGTGTGGCTTGGTTTGGAGCTTTGCTCTGTTGGGTTTAGAGCCATTGTCCTCCAGCTCCTGGCCTTTCATCTGCCACAGCTGAAATCTTGTGACCTGATGCAAATCAGAGGGTGTAAGCTAAAGACTGCAAAGAGGAGAACTGTAATATATGTATGCCTGACTTTATTTAAACTTTTTTTGGTGGTAAAGCTTCTCTGGAGAGAGACTCAAAGCTATGAGGTACTGAAGCAAGGAGGCAACTGGTTTTCAAGAGGGACCCTGAGTGTGAGCTTGGGACTGAAATGGGGTAAAAAGAAGTGGGTATAATTCCAATCAGATAGTGGAAAATGTGGTTAGCCTGGTTTGCAGTAAGTGGAAGCAGCCTGTAAGCAGAAGTTGGGGTGATGCTTTCTCAGTGGACTCAAGACCACCTGGTTTAACAATTATCTATGTGCTGCATCCTGCAGAAATAGGAAGTTTCTTTGTGGGGAGTATGATCCATAGGGAGCTTCTTGGCTTAGCCCCAGTTTCAGACCACAATTTCCTAACTTACATATACATATGTATATGCAGTTTATGTGTACAGTGAGCAACTGGGGTAAACTGGCAATCTGGGCTTGAGGTGGTGCTTGTAGCATTTCTGGGTGAAGTTATGGAACAGACAAAAACCACAGAAACCTGGCTGCCATGGAGGACAGGCAATCTCTGCCCTGGGAAGCTGACCTGGAGAGGGTCTAGGGTGGGGTGGAGATGTAGGATGCAAGATTTGGTGAGTTGGGCTTTGGGTGCCTGGTTCCCTGCGTGCAGAGGGAGGTGGTGGGTGGGAGACAGCAAATAAAAGCAAACCCTTTGCCTGTCATGAGCTCTGGGACTGTGGGTGTTGAGTTTCAAGGGTTTGCAGGCATCCAGCCTCCCACAGCATGGCCTGAAGGGATACTCCAAGGCTGTTCCAGCCCCATTCCACCAGCTGGACCTGTGTTGCATCCTTCCCTGCCCTTCAATGCATGAAGAAACAGCACTTGTGGCACTTGGACATGGCTTGGTTGTGAGCATGGCGGTTGGACTCAGTGATCTTAGATTTTTTTTTTTTCAACCTTAAGGATTCCATGACTTGATGATTCTTGTGGGTCTCTTCCAACTCAGCATATTCTGGGATTCTATGATTCTATGAAATACCTCCTTGGCATCCTGCCCTGACTGGCATCAGGTGGCATGTTAAGCTCCCCGTGCGCTAATTAAACACATTTAAAGGGGTGCTCTGAGCTGTGACAGTGTTGGGTGCTGCAGGCCTGGCCCTCACACCCCCAGCAGCAGGGACAGTGAGGGATTTATAAAAGCAGGAGGGTGGGCAGGGAGTTTTCAGGTTGCAGTTTGTTTTGGGATGGCTGTAGTTTTATTACCAAATGCCTTCCCCCACTGCCAGCTGTATTTGCTGGTGCTGTGAGCATGTGTCAGCGTGACCTGGCAGGATTTGCCCTGGGGAGCAGAGGAGAAGCCCCCAGGCCTTCTGCCTTCCGTCTGCTCCCCATCCTCTCCTGGGAAGGCAAAAAAAGTAGATCTTGGCAAGATCAGAGGATAAAAGTTGCTGTGTCGGGGACCTGAAAAGAGATTTGGTTAAATTGGTGTGGGAAGATTAATGGTGGGTTTTCTTTTCTTTTTCTGTCTTTAAAGCTGGTGGAGGCAGGGGGGGGACGCAAGTTTGCTTTTCACACTCTGTGTGTCTGGGGCTCAGCCAGCCTCGCTCCTGGCCACTCCTGGCTCCAGGACTGCCTGCCCATGCTCACCTCCTTCCCTGGATACAGCTAAAGGTGTTGGAAGGAGGAAAAATATAAAACAAATGAGGCTGCATTTATGTTGTGGAGGAGGAGGAGGAAGCACCCAGCAGCATCCTTGGCTTTTCCTTGTTCCCACTGGGCCTCTCCACCACCTGTGTGTTGCCCATCCTGGAAATGCCATGAGGTTTTCCACAGCCTCCCAGATTCTTGGTCCCCTTTGAAGTGCTTTGCAGCCTTAATGTTCTTGTTTTCTGTCTCGGTAGTATCTTGCTTCAGCTGAATTCCCATCTTCTCCTTGGCAAGAACAACCTGATCTTGAGTGCCCCATTTCATTGCCCAGGGAATATTAGATGTCCACTAGGACATCCAAGGCCACCCAGAAGCATCTCCCTGCTGCACACAGGCATTTTAATTTATTCAGTTTTTTCACAGCTTATCTGTAAATACCAGCAAGGACAACACCTTGAGGAGCCAGTCCATACCCTTGCTGCTGCATGCGTCCCAGGAGCTGCTGCTGCAGCCTGCTCTGGTGTTCTAGTGGTCATCATGTGCTGTGGGATGCTAAGTCTCACTCCCAGGGGTCTGCAGCACATTTGGGGTCTCCTCCCCTTCCTCTGCCTTGGGCTGGGGCCAGCACAGTTTTCTGATGAGAGGCAAATGCCCCACCTCTTCCAGGAGCACCGAGGCACCTCTTTGCACACACAGGGAGGTGCATCCCATCCAGCACACACCATCCAGGGCTGCTTCCCCCCGTGCCACCGCCAGCAGAGCTGGTCTCGGCTCCGTTCAACCAGAACAAGCGGCAAATTAACCTGACCTAGATCTGGAGAAGCTGACAGTTGTGTGTGCCCTCAAAATCCATGCTCTGGAGGCAATGCAGGGAGAAATCTTGCCTATTCTCAGAGAGGAGAAATAGCTGCTTATTTATAACTGTCTGAAAACCTGCTTCTCATTCCCTGGCCACCCAGAGCTCATCCTCTTCCATGCTGCTCTTCATCCCTGTGCTGGGAATGGCTTGAGACATCGGACAGGTCTCCCCATCCATCATGATGCTGCTCTTCCTATTTACACTAACCAGGCACACATTTGCCCACAGCAGGGCACACTGTCCTATGTCTCATCACCACTGGAAAACCTTCCCAGAAATCCCCTGGGGATCAGGAAAACGCCCTTGGGGGTTGATCCTCCAGGCTGGCTGTCAGGATCACACCTTTCCCTGGCAGCTGGGCAGGGCTCTGGCCCTGTCGGGTCCGAGGGCCGCTGGGTTCCTGACGGATGGGACCAGCTCGCTCCTGGCGCAGCCGGCCGTTGCCATGGCAATGGCAGGATATTGCTTTCTTACAGCCTCCTGGCTCGCACAAAGCCAGCCGCCAGCTCCAGCTTTGCTTAGCACGGGGATGTGCAGTGCATACCAAGCACTCCTGCCTTTCCTCTGTCCCCAGCTGGGAACCCTCTCCAGAGCATGCGGGGAAGAATCAGCGGGAGCTGGAGCTTCCTGCCTCTTTCCCACGGCTGGAAAACCCCAGGTCTTTGCTGCCTGCTCTTCCTCACAATGCTCATGTACTGATCCCTCCTGGTTCTTACTTCCTTCATGTTTTTCAGTTGCAAAATTCAGCCTATGCTGCTTTTTCCACATCCTGCCTGTAGCCTGCCACAGGGGGGATATTCCTTAACCTCTCCAAAGCTTGCAAGGTCCATGCTTACCCTCCAGTGGTGCTGGTCACTGCTGCCCTGGCTACCCTGGCCAGAGCATCCTGATCCCAAGCAGGATCTCTGAGATGAGGCTCATGACACAGCTCTGAGAGGCTGGATTAAGGATCTGACCTCACGTCATGACTCTTGAGAGCTTCGGGATGCAGCAGGGTTGTTTCTTGCTTAGCCTGGGGCCTTGGTCATGTTTCCTGAAGCTGTCAGAGCTGCTGGTGAAAACTCAGCCGGATGATGTGGCTGGGTGGGGGTACCAGGGCAGCAGTGAGTGCAGCAGGAAGGCAGTCATGAGTGGCCAGGTCATGCTGTACATCAACCATACAGGGCCTCAGCTCCTGGTTGTGCTGGGTTTGGCAAAATGCACCACATGAATGAGAGTCCTGGCTCTTGCCTGACTGCCAGCGCTCGTAGCCAAGCCCTGAGTTCCTTTGCCAGTTTCAGCCAACATGACTTGGAAGCCTTCATGGGTGTTATTTCCCCATTGTGAGAGCCTGAGAACCAAGTTGGTGCCTCTTCAAAGGCTGCAAGTTCAGCTGGGTCACATGATTAGCCACTAGAGAACCTACACAGGGCTTCAGGAGACCAGGCAGCCTGAGCTCTGCTCAGAGACATCCTCCTCTTGAAACAAAACACAGCCATCATCATTCTGTCTGAGCCACAGATGCTTGAAATCCAGGCAGGGAGAGAGGACCAAGGTCTCCCCTCTGCCAGGGACCACAGACTCCTCTCCCTGGAAGAGGGTGAAGGCTGGTGATGGCAGGGTCCTCCCACACTGGCAGTGAGCTCCCAGCCTTGACAGCATCACAGAGATTCTGCATTCTTCAGGGACAGCAGTACTAGTTGTTGTCTTTTATTTTTTACCTGCCTTTGGGAGCTGTGAATTGAGACTTAATCATGTTTATAGGCACAAGTCTTCCCAAGTGTGTTGGAGCCTTGTGGTGCCTGTGGCAGGCTGCTTCCTCACCACTGCCTCTACACCATACACAGCCTAGACACTACACTGCCTGCTCTGAGGCTGCTGGGGGCTTGAAAATCAGTCTTAATTACAAAAAAAAAGCCCCAAAAATGCACTCAGCTTAAGATATCTGTGCAAAAGAAAAACCCAGCTCCTCTTTCTGATATTCAGGGGTTGTGTTTTCCAGCATGATTTAAATAAAAAAAAAAAATCCATAATTGGCTTTTTGTTTTTCCAGGGGGAGGGGTTTTCTGTGTTAGCTCAGAAACTAAAACTCCTATATAACTGCAGCTCTTCAGAAAGATGCATTGTGAGAACACAGGGAAAGCCTGGGATACTGTGCTGGTGAGCAGAGGGTGGTTGGGATGTGCTCTGCCAGATATTGAGGGGTAAAGACGTGGCAGTTGACCCTTTTTGGCAGCTTTTTTGCTCTGCACAGCCCCGCTGCACTTAGAGCATCAAGGACGGCTGATGAAACATTTCGACCCAAGGACATTTGAATGAAGGGGGACCCAAAATAGCCTGAGACTCGAGAAGGGTTGAGAATGGGAAAAAAAACCCACCCAGTAATAACTTCTCCAGAAGCGCTATATATAGACCAATTTGGTGACTTCTGGAAAGACAGAGCTATGAAATCCAAATGGCAGCTCTGCCTTGACATCCTGAGCTGAGCCTTCCCTGGGATGCTGCCTTGCAGAGGGGAGCTGGCTGGTGTGTGCCCCCAGAACATCCCTGTGCTCTTGCTGGGATTATCCCAGATCTGAGGTTATGAAGGGAACACAAATCCCAGACTTCCACAAAGTGGGACAAGGGGAAAGCAAGCCCTATTCCTGGTTGTGTGAATTTGGTTTAATTTCATATGCTTCCTCAGGACTCTCAGAGCAGAAACTGGGTGTTTTTTCTCTTTTGTCTTTCCTTCCCCATCCCCTCTGCAAACATTTGAAATTTCCACTTGGAGTTTTTTAGGTAGCCCTCTTTTACTATACCTTTCTCAGTGTGCTGGGATTTGGTGTTTGCTTCCCACCCCACCCTCTCTGTATGTGGATTTGGAAGGGAAGCTCACCCTGCACCATCCCTCTCTCCGCAGGTTATCCTGAAGGACCTGGAATTGCTGGCTGAGATCGCTTCTTCCCCAGCAGGACAGACAGAGGAGGGTCCCGGTCCCTCCGATGGCTCCGATGTGCGACCTGGCCCGGTGGAGCTTCATGTCCCAGCCAGGGCTGGCCAGCTGAGCTCTTCCAGTGAGTGCCCCTGTGCCACAGCTCCATGCCTCCCTGCTCCTGGGCACTCTCCATGTTCCATGGCACCAGTCAGGTTTGCTCAGGCGAAAGGAGAAGCTTATTTTACAGTAATAAATCAATGTCTTCATCCCTACCCAGCAATGTTTGGGGATCGAGTCTGCCATGGCCCAGACCAGGGCTCTGCTTTTATTTTTACTGCTCTTTCCCGTAGTTCTTGTTTTGGGGATTTAGGGCTCAGTTTAGCAGCAGGATGCTCCAGAGGCCAGTGTGGAGAGATGTCGTTGTTGTCCTATTTTTTATGGAACCTTGGGCTCCAGTCTCTTTTCTCCTTGTAAAAGCCCTCAGAGCCCTAGAATCAGTGCAGGATGAGATGCTGGCTGCAATCCCAGATCTCCAAAACGTCCATAGATCTGCAGAGGGATCCCTGTGCCAGGCTGCCCACATTGGCTATGAACTGTTATGTTGCTCTAAGTGTCTGGCAGAACCTCAGGAGAGAGATGAAGAGGGACGATCCTATTTTCTGGGGACATGAGAGATTAAAAAAAAAAAAAAACAACCTTTCATTAATTATCCCTGCACACGAGGAAATTTTTTTCACCTTCCCTTGTCTGTGGTTCATGCTTTACAGTTGCTTGGCTTCTCCTTCTCCTCCTCTGCTGCTATTTAAGGGCCTCCCTGCTGTACTCCCCAGGCCAGGTCGTCCCAGCCAAAAGCACGTTTCATGTGAGCTTTGGATTGCAAGCCGAGCACTGAGCCAAGGCTGCCTCTCCCTGCACAGGATGCAGCCACAGGGCCTTGCAAAATCACCACCAGAGTGAGAGGCTTTGCTTTCCCATCCCCAGGCTTTGTTTTCTCTCAACATCCTGGATCACACACCCCTCCCTGATCTTATAAACGTCTGCACCAGCAACCAGCTCAGGTCTTTGGTTCAGAGTGGGATTTTTTTTTTTCTTTTTTTTGTGGATCTACCTGTTTCCTGCTGGCAGCTTTATCTCTGCAATGGAGAGGCGAGGGCTGCAGGGCTGGTGACCTCCCCAAGCTTTCTGCAAGTCTCATCCATCCTCCCACTGTCAGAAGTGAGACTGCCTGGGTGGAGCGGCTCCTGCAGTGCTGGCCAAGCAGCTGAGGAGCTGCAGTTCAGCTCGCACTGATGGTTGTCTGAGGTTTCCTTCCTTCTGGATGATCTAAAAATAGCAGGCTGGATGGCGTGGATCCTAACGACTGCCGTGGCCCCTGTTAGCTATCTGGAAGAGCAACTTGGCTTCACTTACTCAAGTGTAACCTTTAAAAAGAGTCTGGCTCTCCCCTCCTGGAGTAGATCTGCTGGAGCTGGAGCTCCCGTTGCCCCACGGTGGGACAACTTGCCCCCACACAGGTCCTAGTGGGCTCTGGCTTCCTCACCTATTTTCCTCTTCCCTATAATGTACCAGAAAATTGTTCCTTAAGAATTTATTTGGAGCTGAGTTTTGCAGGGTCATTGGCTTTTAACCAAAGGCAGATGTTTTTGGGGAGGGGAAAAAGGAGCTGGTTCATTGGCCTTGGGCGTTTGTCATGGCCCCGGTCCCGTCTGGCTTTGACCACCCAAGGCTGAGACCGGATGGGCTGCTGGGGAGCTCCCCCAGGGAAATTGAGGGTCAGAGCTGGGCCAGGACCTTCCTGGATTATGCCTGGAAAATAAGAGGCTCCTGAAAAATACTCCTTTTGCCAGAGGATTGCTTGAAGGGAGGACTTTTTGGAGCAGTATGGTGTCCAGTGGAAATCCCCATGTCTGAGTGTGGTCCCTGGTGGTGAGAGCAAGTGAGCCAAAACTCTGCCCTTCCCAGGCAAAAATCATGAGGTGCTGGCAACAGGGAGAGGGTGTACACCTTTCTGGAGTCACTGGTTTTGTACTGGGATAGTTCCCTAGGGTGCTGTGGTTCAGACAGTGCTGTATTGACAATAGGATGGATGCTGTTGCCCCCTTAGAGTGGGGGCTGCAGGGTCCCAGCACTTCTCCCCAGGATTAAATCTCTCCATTCCCTTCATCCACTTCAGACTGGATTGCCATTGAAAACAGCAGTGGGAGGAGAGCTGCTGAGCTATCCCAGCCCAAATCCTCTCCTGTCCCAGAGGCCCTTCCAAATGTGCAGTTGGTGGCTTTGCAGGTAAACAAGCAAGGTCACCCTTTGAAATCCTTGAGCTCGTGGCAGATTTCCTGCTGTGCTCTCTGTCCTGGTGCTCCAGGCTTTGCTAGCCAAGCAGTAAGGGCAGGAGTGGAGGTGGAAGGGGCCAGTGCCCCCATGGTCTTCCCTGCGTTTCCTCTCTCTCCCTTTCTTCCCTTGGGATGTGTTTATGCAGTTGTTTCCCTGCCATTGAGTTCGGTTTCCTTCAGATGCTGGTTGATTAGTCAGGAAAGCCGTGTCCCACTTCCGCAGCCCGTTCCCAGCTCCAGTTTTTATTTAGCCACTTTGTTCTCCGGTTACGTAAGGTCAGCTGCCCTCAACGCCTTCTCCAAGCACAATGAACTGGGGCCAGCCCAGCTCAGCACTGCCGGGGAGACCCAGCATCTCCTCCTGACTGCTCCGACTGCCCTGGGAGAGCGTGGCTGGTTTTGGCCTCCAGGAATGTCTCCTTGGTACCTTATGCCCACTTTTCAAGGGACAGAGGCTGCAGGGTTGTGCCCAAGAGCTTCCCAGTCTTTGGAGTGATTGTATGAGTGCCAGTCTGGTCAGTACAGTGGGATTCCAGTGCCTGCTTTGCTTTGGGAGTGTCTTTTCCAACCCTGTAGAAGCTGAGACAAGTAACAGATGACCTGAGAGTGGTTGTAACCGAGGTCAGCGGGTTAAGGGAGGTGATTCTGTGCCTTTACTCCACTCTGGTGAGACCCCATCTGGAAGACTGCATCCAGATCTGGGGTCCTCAGTACAGGAAGGACACGGACCTGTTGTAGCAAGCCCACAGGAGGTCACAGAGATGATCAGAGGCTGGAGCACCTCTGATAAGGAGACAGACTGGGAGTTGAGCTTTTTCAGCCTAGAGAAGGTTCCAGGGAGACCTTAGAGCCTCTTCCGTTGCCTGAAAAGTCTCCAGAAAAACTGGACAGGAAAGAGAGTGATTTTAGGTTAAGTATTAGGAAGAAATTCTTCATTGTGATAATGGCAAGGCACTGGAAGATGTTGCCCAGAGATGTAAAGTGCCATCCCTGGAAGTGTTCAAGGCCAGGTTGGATGGGGCTCTGAGCAACCTGGTCTAGTGGGAGGTGTCCCTGTGCATGGCAAGGGGGTTGGACTAAATGGCCTTTAAATGTCCCTTCCAACCCAAACCATCCCATGATACCATAGGTGGAAGCCCTCCAGCCTCATCTACAGCTCTGCTCTGCACAAGAGACAAAAACTCATTCCAAAAGGATGCCAGACCAGCTGCTGCTTTGCACAGGGTAACTCTTGCACACATCTCTTCCTTCCTTTCTGCACAGCTTTGTAAGGTGAAGCAGTTACAGCCCTTTGTTTCCTCTCCAGCTTGGTCCGGTCTCTTCTGCCTGGCTTCCTGCCGGAGGTGGTGGGGACAGTGCTGCACCCTCTAAGTACCTCATGCTATAGGATGTTTACTGGGAGTCTGACTCCATGTGTGGAGTCACTGAAGTGCCTGAGGTCATTGGTTTCCACTGGCAGACCATGGATATCCCTTAGAGTCAGTGGACTACTCTGAAGGAGACTGCTAGAAGTCCCCGAGAAATGTAGTCTGTTGAGTTCAGTCTTGCTGTATCCCCCTTGGAGAACATGCAGCATTCCAGAGTGGAGATATTCTGTGTTAGGGGTTTACTTTCGACATATCCTGGGGGGGATTTTAATCTCAGTGAGCCAAACCACTCCCTTTTCGTTGTCTGTTGCTTCAATTGTGTCATTGTAGATCTGCAGAGGTGGCAGCGTATGGCAAGGTCCACCTCCAGACAGTCTGTAAAATGTTAGGGCAGCCTCTGCAAGCATCATGAGAGTCTGTAGTGTGCAGGAGGTCCATGAAAGGTAGAAAAGAGAAGGTGGCTTCTTATCAGGTGGCTCAGATTTGCTAAACTGCTATTTCCAATGTTAGAGAAGGATAAAAGTGAAACCCTTCCTTACTCATCCTCCCCACAAAAGGCAGTGAGGCAGATGATGTCACACCACTAACCACTTGCTCTTGTAGGAGTCAGTTTCCAACAGTTTTTGTAGAGTCAGGAAGGTGACAGCAGGGAGCAGAGGAGCCAAGCAGGCAAGAGAAAAGAGGGTGTCCTGAGTTCTCCGAGCTCAGCAGTCAGAGTCAGGAAGGTGACAGCAGGGAGCAGAGGAGCCAAGCAGGCAAGAGAAAAGAGGGCTGTCCTGAGTGCTTTGAGCTCAGCAGTGTGGTTCCTGATGTTGGTGTTTGTGGCATCTCTTTTCCTACTGGCATAAAGCTGTTCAGGAGTGTTGACTGTCAAAAATGTTCTTCTGCCTCTTGGGGAGGAGAGGAATTTGAGAGAAAGGGTGATCTGTTTGTTTTCCTGGATGCAGTGTAACAGCCAAGCTGGGATGCTGTGGAAAGCCCCAGGAGAGACCATCCAGATGTAGTGTTAACTCGCCTGGCGTGCCTCCAGGTATCCATCCCTCCTGAGATGGTCACAGCATACAGCCAGCCAGAAAGCCTGGGGATTCCCAAATAACAGCTGGGATTACTGATTTGTAGTGGTGGACAAAGGAGAAGTTGGTGGTGTAGATAAATCACTTGCAGCCAAGCCCTCCTTTGGAGTTACTTTGCTGGGCTGCCTCAGTTTCCCAAAGATGTGAGGAATTTGTGGGGTGAGGTGAGGAATGAGGTGAAAAACAAACTAGCAGAAAGAATATTGGTGTGAAAACAGCCCAGCAAACCCCATTGCTGCTTATTCCTTCAGGTTGTCTTACGTATACTTCACCTTTCCATGCAGGAGCCTCAACCCACTCTAAGCTCACCATGAAGCTTAACCATTCCTGGTTTGCTTCTCTGCTGGGTACTTTGTGCTCCTGAACAAT